TTTATCAACAACAAAAATGATCCAAGCTGAATTTATCAAAGAGAGGTCAGTGCTGTTATTCTGTGAAACTTCTAAAGCTTCTAAGTTTCCTGCTTTATGTGAAGTAACTGGAGCAGATTTAAGCAGTTGTTTTAAATTAGAGCTGCACACAAAGAGAGGATCGTGCTATTGGACCCATCTTTACACAGTAACTTTAATTAGTGGCCTCCCTGCAGATATGAGGCCTTTTATTGTCCGTGTTACTGCTTTTCAAACAAGCGCAGTGGCTGTTACTCAATGTTTTGAGTTTTGAAGTGACCTCTGCCCATTTTTTATTTTGTTTGCTCATCTATTCAGGTTGTTCTTGTAATGTTGGTTTTATAATTAGTCTGTGTGTTAAACCACTGTATGCTCAAAAGATGGACAGTTTTAAGTTGAAACTCCGAGTTGCTGACATGGTTGATATTTGGGACCAGAAAACAAGTTTCAGCAACAAAACATCCACAAGGGATGTCAACAAGGAAATAACGAAGGATCACGTCATGGTATAACGATCAAACAAGAAGCACCAGATAGTTCGGGACGACGTGTCAGATCCCTATTTAGAATACAAATTCAGTGCACATTTAAAGAGCCTGTATGTAAATGTTTTATTGTGAAAATTCAGTCCGTGCTTTCCAGGTGGCCTGCTTTGTTTCCCATCTTGTGGCTGCTAACAGCTGTGTCAGCTACCACTCAGATGAGTCTGATGGACGCCCACTCTGCTGTCTTTGAGTGCATTAGGTGATGATAGTCCTTACAGGAAGTGGTCAATGCGCTGATCAAGGACTGCCGTCACGGGCTGAAGTCCAGGAGTTTTGCCTTAAAAGTACTACTAATAATAATAATGTAGCTACCTCCAGTAAAATGTACTTTTTTTTTGTACACTCCATCAGAAGAACCCAGAGAAGGAGCAGCCATGGCCTGTGCTCGAGTGCCACTGGATGAGCAGCAAGTGACCGAGCCTGGCCCTCTGGGAAAGGAGCGCACGCTGCCTGCACTGGTGAGTCGGCACTGATGGTTTTATGCTAATGTTCACTCAGACAGCTGCTCACCTCTCATACTGACCAGGATCCCAACCTGTGCTTTCTGCCATCCATCAGCACCCAGACAGGACAGAGGAGCGCTGTTTCGTGCCTTACAAGCCCCCTCCAGAAGACGGCTCTCCAGCTGACGTGGAGGAGTTTTTAGAACATGCCAGATTCATCACAGAGGACCTGGAGTGGCTGCTTGCATTGCCTCACGACAAGTTCTGGTGTCAGGTACAGTCGTGTCAACGTGTTATGCAGAGAAAACTCAACGGCTCGCACTCTGCAGGACTGCCAGTGTTTTATTTTGTTTAACACAAAGACTAATGCTTCAAACACAGCTGCTCTTTAGCAGACAGTAATGTCACAATGTGTTCATAGACCAGTATTACATTGATCTGTTTCTGTTATCAGAAACATGTTAACAGTTTGTGATGTAAACTGTCAAAAAAACACAAGAAAATTGTGAACAGATAAAAATAATAAAGATTAAAACAATCAAATAAATGAAAACATAAAAAATGTAAATACAATTAAAAAGATAAATATAAAATAATTATATAAAAGCAAAAAACTGTAATAATAAAATTAAGAAAAACTATATAAACATTAGTACAAACATAACAGTAGACGGTAGAAAAGCTGTTGCCTGGATCACATTCAGCATGTAGACACCAACCAAGCAGAAGGCAGTCGGTTCAAATCTGTGGAAAATGTCTAAATACTGTTGAGTATAGAGCGCGTCTCAGTACGTCTCAGTGCCTCTTAGATAATAAAAGCAGGATTATTTTTATGGAACTATAATAAATCCATGTACTAGAGCTGCACGATTAATCGTTAGAAAATC